ATGAGGAGTGTATATCCTTTGTTGATTCCCGGCTCCAAGCAGCTGACTGAATCGCTTTGCATATTTGGGCGAACGGACGCTCCATCGCGCTTTTGTATAGAGGCTGAAAGTATTTTTAAGATATCATTTCTTTAGGTTCTTTGGGTAATACTTGTTGGACAGTGGGCAGAAAGACCATGGGCCCAGGGACTCGGTATTTTGAGAAAGAAGTCAGCTTTCCTAATTATATTTTTAATTGATACCAGTTAAAATGTTCAAGTGTGTTTAGATTTTTTTATTGCAAATAATAAACATGGTTGCATTGAAAGTTCTGATAATGACAAAATGCATACAATGTGTCAAGGGTAGGGATAAGTACAAATAATCCATAACACATTAACTTATATATTGCTAATTTGCTGTCAGGTGGGATTGCTAGACGAGTGGGTGGTGGTAGGAGAGTGTTATAATTTATAAATTTATAGTTTTTAAAAAATAAACAACTATCCATATTGTTATATAAGTAGGCTAGATCACCACCACCACCACCACCATCATCATCATCATCGTTATAGCCTATCTAAATCCACTACACAGTGTAGGATAGATAAGTAGTATAAGTACATAAATATTAAATATATCTGAGTAATGGATGAAGCATTACTCGAGTTTATAAAATTGTCTCAAATAACTAATTACAACGTCGTCTTAAACAAAAGTACTATTTATTAAAATGAAAATATTTAAAATCCTGAAATAAAATTATTCTTACCACTATTTCGTCATTAATAGCGCAAGTTAAAACAGAAAGTAACACCGCGTGGAAGTATGCACAAAGTATATCATCTGTAGATGCACTTTCTTTTACCAATATGTACATAATGCGGTCTCTTATACTAGGACTAAGTACGTAATTTCGTTCTTCGTAAATTTCCTTTATTTTTTTTAAATAGCACGCAGCAGGCTTATCCTTTACCAACTGTTTCAGTGAATATCCCAATTTTATTTGAAATCCACATAACTTTAAATCTGTAATTTAAAAAATACTAAAATTTTACGATTTTAGATAACTTTACCGTGTGAGATATTAGATAGATTAGTGATTTTCCCACGTGAGTGTCATTACAGGCCACTGGAGGAAATGTTATAAAAATCTTAGATAACGGCACACTACTTAGATCTAGATCGGCGACGTACACCAACGTCAAAGTTGCGAGACGTCAGGCACTGCAAGTAATATACCGAACCGAATGCAAAGCGTGACTATTATTGCAAATATTCCTAAACAGTAGGAGAAGCCCTTGATTTACAATCTAGTGTAGAATAAGAAGAATTAGTTTTCATCATCTTTATCATTACAGGTCTTTACAAGGCCTTCCTCAAGGAATGATAGAAAGCATGGTCCTGAGCTACCTGCATCCATCGCATCTTCCTGCATATTTACCAGGTCGTCACTCCATTTAGAGGCGGACCGCCCCTCACTTAGCCTAAATAAATTAAGGTGACCGACGTCCCGATGTCACTGCTAAACCCAGAGTACCTTCAGCTGTTTTAATTATTGTTATGGTCTATGGTCCGATGAACGTATGGTATATGATACGCGAGTGCGATTAGGCGCTCTCCACCAATCCTTCATTTCGAGCTTTTCTTTCGAATGTGTCGGACGCATTGTTGTGTTTTTAAAATGAACAAAGAAAAACTTATAGAAGAAGATCGGAAGTATAATTTATTATATGATTTAAGGGTCAGTCGTTGATCACGCGAGGTCCACTCGTTGACGACGCGAGGTCCACTCTCACGCGTCGACTACGAGTTGACGCCTGGCGACGAGGCGGTGAGGGTCGGGTGCCGGGTGGCTCTAATGAGCTGTGACCTTTATGTTCACTGTTATAGTTTGACATTAATTGGTCGTGTTTATCAACGTTGCGCATATATTTAGTATATTTGCTATAGCGTTTGGCTTTAGCGTGACTATATCTGGTCGCCGCGGATTTTGTACAGGAATCATGTCGCAATCGTCTTGATGAAATTTGGAATATTTGTATTTTCTAATAGCTTTGAGGGATAGTTTTTGGAACAAGTTAAGATGAGATTTAACATGTCACGATCCATAACTAAAAAAAGTAATCTATGGGTCCTTTGTTAGTGATTTCCACCTTTAAACCAGGACGCTGTTCGAAATAAATTAGGTTGACGTCAAATCATGATATGAGGCGAGCTTCGACGCGAGTTTGCAAGGGAACAATAGGGAGTCAACAAATGACAAAAATAAATTCGTCTAAATTATGAATAACTATTATTATCGGATCTACAACATCCAGTAAAACAATAGCACGGCGTCTTAAAAGGACCATAAAACACTTGCAGGATGGCCATGTTTATTGCTTTGGTATATAAACCATATTTTCTCACACCGTCACTTAATAAACTCGGTGACGATGGTCGAGCCTCACCTTCAAATTACGTTGCACTAGAAATAGTATGTAACTGAAAACCCTTCTCGATGTTTTCTCTTCCCTTCAACTACTAATTAAAAACACTACTTATTATACTTATTACATATAAAAAAATCGACTAAATACTATCATAAAAGTTTTTTTAATATCAAAATATCAGAAAAAATTTTGCAGTCCCTGGTCATATTTCAATAATACTAAAAATTCTGTCTAAATAAGCAAGAAATTATTTCATGTGCGTAAACGCCGATCGGCGTCAACGCGTTTAAATATGATGCGTTCGACGCCTATCGGCGTCAGTCCTTTAAACCGCCCGTCCCTACGTAATAAGGACGATATATTGAGCTGCCTTAAATGGGTTAATAAGCTATTTAATTTTCTTTGCAAGCCGTTCTTTTCAAGTGACAGTTGACAGATCGCGGTCATTCGAGGTCATTGAGGTTCCCTATTGCTATTAGAATCGCATTGTGCCAAGATTGTGTACACCTTACCTAGTAAATTTGGTCCTAATTGATAGAATATAATCGGTTCTTTTCTGTTAACCTCACAGGGGGCGGCTATCATTTCCTTTGTTAGATATGTGTCGATGACTTGCAGAAACCTTGGCTCGTTTAAAGTTCTCAGGCAAACTGCACGCACGGCGAAGTAATTGAACACAATATGTAGCACCATCATTAGAACGAATATCAGCAAGGAGTTCCTAGAAAAATAACAACAAACATATAGTTGCATTTCAGTACGTTCGGATTCCGGAACGAGATGCCGGTAACCCAAGCATTCATATTCATATATGGGTCATTCTACGATAAGAGGTTTTGCGTCCATATAGGATGCGGCCAAGTAGAAAAGTGGGAGTTTTTTTATTAAACACATATCTAAAGACTTTAGCCCCTTTAATACACACATCCACGGAAGGGCAAGTCCATTTATACACATTGGGCAGGAGAGATACTTGAACAAAATAAAACAATTATTAAAATGTTCTTTTACTAAACATTGTACTGAACTTATAATTAAAATATCATTTTTGTATTACAGTCTTTCATTTAATCTCATACTAGAGCTTCTTTAGTGTTTGTGACAAAAATGTTTCTAAATTAGGTAATAAGAGACATTATACCTTCAACAAATAATAAAATATTCTTTAATCAATACTAAGGAGACTTGTAGATCTACATGTACGGGAAAAAAATCGAAGACATGTGAAGTCAACCGATACGCATTGAGGCAGTGCGATAGACACTTCCTTGTCCTAAAACCCTCTTAGTGAAAGGAAGCTTGTGCCCAGCAGCGGGACGTAAATACGTTGTAACTTAACTTCTTTAATTTTAAGGAGACTAGTTATTTTGTAAGTTCACTATTTCATAGCTTGTTTTCACTTTACGTTTATATTCCATTAATCGTCTTTTCTGAATTTTCCAATTTTTTAATAATCCAAATTTATGTATTTGTATTATTATAACAATTTATTGTGCAATGATGACAATCGAGCACACAGTTGTTGTGTTGGTAAGTGGATGCTTTGGTCATGGACATTTATTTTTCCTAAAGAATCAAAATATCTACAAGCGCGTTGTCACCCCTGAGAATTAAGATGTAATGCCTCAAATTCAGCCAAAAGGGTCTCCGGATCTCTACTCACCATACGTACCAACCAAATATAGCAGCATTACGCAGCTATTTTACGCTGGTGTTATGTGAGAATGTTATCATTCCCTGGTCAAGCTGAACTATTCCTTCTACCACAATAATATAATTGCAGCATGCCTCTATCTTTATATATATATAAAAGAAAGTCGTGTTAGTTACACCACTTATAACTCAAGAACGGCAGAACAGATTTGGGTGAAAATTGGTATGGAGGTAGCTTAGAGCCAAGAGACGGACATAAGATACTTTTTATCCCGCTCGACAGCGTTTCCGTGTGACTTGACATGAAACGTCAGTCACTGTAAAACGTGGTATAACAAAAAAAGAATCAGACTTGGAATAACAAAACGCAAATGATAGCTATGTAATTGACGTATAATGACAGCTATGTAATGACGTATAGATGACAATTTAATATTTGTAAGAAATCAATATTCAAACTATTTCTATTAAATAAATAATTAACAATTATAATGTAATGATAGTGCCATTGCCCATTCGTATAAACAGTGAAGTGAACTATAAAACTCGGTATGGTTGAAAATTTGAGTTTTGAAATAAATTTTTAGGTGAATTGAAGTGAAGTGAAGTTTAATTAATAATGCCGCGAGCAAGACGATCGAATCTTTCCCGACAAAGCCGTAATGCAAGAAGAATACGAAATACTGCAAATGAAAGGACTGAAGAAGAACAAGAAATTGCACGTGAACAGCGCCGCGATAGTATGGCTCGACTTCGTGCTTCTCAATCACGAGAGCAAAGTGAAGCAGCCCGTGAAACAGCTCGATTGGCAATGCGGAATCGTCGAACGAACAACAGAGGTCAACAGATAGATAATTTGCGACGCAGAACAAGATATTTATCAAGTGCTGATTTGAATCGAGCAGCGTTTCGATACGATTGCAGCAATGATTACAGCTTGCATCCTAGCGTTTGTATTGGGCAAATGGACGTTGTTTGTGAGTATTGTGGTGCATTAAAGTTTTCCGGAGAAACGGCTGGATTATGCTGCCTTAATGGTAAAGTGAAATTACATTCATTCATTCATTGCTTTGTGGCGAAACACAAGAATCACGCCACTTTCTTGCAAACACTCAAAAATACAATGGTTGTTTCCAAATGACGTCATTTGGGGCAGATATTATCGAAGAACGAGGATTTAAGAGGGCATATGCGTTTCGCGTCGAAAACTACATGTTTTATGGTTTTTCCAAAGGCGATATCGTAACGACGTGAGGAGATTATTTGCTGAAAATTAGGGTTTTAGAAAGATGAAGTCTTTATTTAGTACATAGCAATGCAAAATCATAGTTTTTAATGACGGTTTTTTAGGGCGAAGACAATCTCTTCACAGTGTTTTACAAAAATATGCATCAGAGTTATCTTTTAGGTTGAATACAACCATTATTATAAGCTAAAATACTTTATTTTAAGCGTTATTATAATGGAATATATAGTCTTTTAGTGTATAGCAAAACCTAAATTACGAAAATATTTCGATTTAATATTATAAAATAATATTATAAAATCACCAAAACTGTCTACTTCAATGTAATTTTTTCCATGTATTTGCTTATAAACATATCTATTTTAAATTATTTTATCAAAATACATGTAATGTTAAATATCCAATAAAATTTTTAGCTCGTTTTATTTTGTCAATTATTTTATATAATTATTTTAAAAATACTATAAAACATCATGTGCAGACGCCGTTCGATTTAGTACGCTCCGGGTAATCCCAACGACAGGACGTATTACTTTTTCTCACCGACACCGCGCGATCGTGTTGATACACCGATAGGGCTATACTACACCATACTATAACTAGATACCTATAGCACCATCGAGCATTTTAAACGATTCAAACTTTTATAAGCGATATTTTTGGTAGTAAGTAATTTTGAAATATGTTTATGATTGTAATATTTAAATATTAAATGATGTAATGGTGGCAAATTTTCATTTCATATATATTTTTTTTAGAAATGAGTAAGTAATGAACGTAAGCAATTCGGATCAAGTAAAAATACAAAATCGTTGGCTTTCACCTTTGGCTCCGTGGCGGAGTGACTTGGTAATGATTTGTAGCGCTGAGCGCCGCAGGTTCGAATCCCACATGGAACAAAAATTTGTATTACCTACAAATAATTGTTCCAGGTCTGGATGTTTGTCCTTGTGAAATTAATGTATTTAAACTGCCCCAACGATGTACTTAGGAAAAATTCCTAGTGTGGAGATAACGTTATGATTAAACAAAGACATGCCATCAAAAACATGACTTGTAAAATAACCAAGTCTCGCAATGATGATACGGCCGAGCCGCTGTTTTGGTCGACATGGCGGGGGCACTACCGTGCCCCCAGATATAAAACATATGAGCCGTGCTTGAGTTGAGTAGCTCAAGGGCGTAGTGCTCGCCGTAAACGCGAACAATCCGGGCTCGATCCCCGCTAGTGTTGCCAGGTGTCCCGATTTGCGCGGGACGTCCCGATTTTCAAGGGTCTAGTGACACGTCCCGATTCACCCTTGATCGGGACGCCAAATGTCCCGATTTTCACTAACCTTGTTATTCTATACTTAACTAACTATAAATAACTATACTAACTTAAATAACTATTCCATAATTTTGACAGCAAAAATGATTATATCTGTTAGCTACTACCACATTAAAATATTTTTACTACGACATTGTCTCACCAGTCGAAAAAAAAACCACAAAAGTTTTAAACAGAATTATATTAAAATGAGTGATTTGAAAAAATTCAGGGACTGCAAAAAAAATAACAAATAGTTCAAAATGTTTTAATTTGCCTAAAATGAAAAAAAAATCAATTTTTACGATGTTTGGATGAAAACTTATTCGTTTATGAGATCAGACCCGGATAATAATTATAAAGCACAAAAATAAAGTAAAGTTACAGTCACAATTTCTCGCATTACTCGCATACTGTGATATTTACAGTTAGCGTTGATCGTCTGAGCTGCCACGGCTCTCAATAAAGCACAAAAGGCTACAAAGAAACCTATATTTTGTAGTCATTCTAGTTGTCCGGATATGAAAACCAAATCCTCGATTATTTTTACCTTCCGTCCCGAAATTTTACTTGCTAGACCTGGCAACACTAATATCGCCGATACTAATGAAATTGTTACTTTGACGAATGATGTTTACATTATAAAACAGAATAAAAGTTTATCAATTGATATATATTTTATACAATACATATTTTTCAATTAGAACATGTACATATTATAATATACTCAATGGGGTGAAAATGTAAAGCCGACTTCAATTTACTAAAAGAATAAAACAATTTTCACATATTAGCCTCCGATTTCTATACACTAAGTACATAAGCCATTATATGGAAATTACTTTTTATTATTTTAGTTCCAATAGTATCAAAGACAGGTATATAATCAAAGATCAAAGTGATTCGTAGTCGTCGTTAGGCAACTATTATAGCCTCACGCTCGCCCTGACACGCACACAGAGATAACATTTTAGTGTGCGTCAATATTACGCCATTCCAAAGCGATCGCGTAGATTTCGACTTGGACATATTTGAATATGCGCTCTTAATCCGACATTTAAGGTATTTATTTTTGTACTTACATAGAATGTAGTTAAAGAATAACTTACTTTATCTATTGGTATGTATTATATTTGCTAATTCTGAACTCTACTCTCCCACCCAAAAATATTTGCTAATTCTGAACTCTACTCTCCCACCGAAAAAAGTGTTTATAACCCAGTTAATACTGTCTGGTTTTTATTTTGTAGATACAAGGACAGATTCACAATCGAATTGGATCATTACTACCTTTCGAAGATACACAGAATAAATTTTTACAAATATATTTCATGGGCAACATGGAAGAACAACTTGATCGACGCCTAGGGATCAATGCAGGAATGAAGCGAGCAATTCTTCAAGACTTGCAGTGTCTGCTTCATGAACATCATGCGTTGGTCAGGTTGTTTAAGAATGCTTTAGAGCGCATGCCAAGTGATGACCATAAAGTTGACATCAAAGCAGATAAACG